CCAATATGATGGTGGTCTTTAATCAGCAGTATGTCCTGTTTGTGCACCTTTCTGGGAAATCTCCCAGTAAGGGCAGTTCCTGAAGGAGGGCTCCACCCTGAAACTGTGGGCTAGAGGCCTGGGGTCTCCTCCCTGAGCCCCCACTTTACACCCTGGTGGCCTCCGGCTGGTTTTTCACCTATAGTGAGCCTTAACTTTGCCATATGCAAAATAGAGATAAGGACAAGTGGAGAAACTTCTGTGACAGCAGAGGCAGCTCTTCTGTAAGAAGCAGAAAGCAGGCCTGGCTGGGGGAATGGCTGAGCCTCAGAGACACATACCATTCTCCTCTCTGGGTTTCTCACCCACCTCCACTAGGATTTGAGTAACAATGACCTTCAGTGCAAATCCAAAAAGCAGACCACACACACAGATACACACACACCATCCATGAAAAGTACATAAACTTAAGAAAATGTGACTTCTCAACTCTCTACTTGGAAGTTGCATATTCAAAGCAGCTGCTAATCAAAGTACCTATTGACATATAATGTATGAAGGATCTAACCATGCTGCGGGTAATTATGCCGGAACACCACTAGCCAAGGGAGCCTAGTCTCAGAAAGCACTAGAAGCAACTTCCGGGATCAATCTCACCTGCCAAACCTGTCCCCAGACCTGCTCAGGTGATGCCTTCTGCTCCAACCTGGTGGAGCCTCCACCCCATTCTTTTGGATGCTGTTTACTCCGCATTCACACTCTGTTCTACAAATCCCAAAGGTCCAGGGCTCCTCCGACATCTGGAATCCTCCCAGGTAGCAAGGACCTAGACCTGCTAATTCCCCCATGCCTCATCCACTAAAGAGCCTGAAGCCAGAATGAGCTGTTTGTCCTTTTGTAACGGTTCCTTTTATCATGAATTTCTCTTCAAGCCTGTCTCCTCTGTAATGATTTCAGGGACAATTTCTCAGACAACTTTCCTGTTTGCTGTCCCACTGAAAAGGGCAGAGAGTGACTTTGCTCGTGGAGCTCCGCCAACATTCTGGCTCTGAGGTGTGAAGTGAGTTTCCTCGCTTGGGAGCACCAAGAGGAGGCACTAGTCCTCGATTCTCCAGACAGCCATAAAAGATGCACCAGGGAAATCGGGCTACCACTGACCTGAAAATACATTTATCAAGAAAATAAGGCTAAATGTTTCCAGGAAAATATCTTTTTAAAAAAATGCTTTGGAAAAATAAATCAAGTCAAATTAATCCTTCTAGGAGACTCTCTGGAGCCCAGACCCTGGGAAGGAGTAAAAGTAATCAGCAAATTGTCCCAATCATCTCTAGGTCTGGGACTTTCAGCCCGACCACCAGGGGATCCAGCCTCGAGCAAGGAGCCTTCTCCCTGGGCCCCAGAGCCATGCTCTTATTTCTTGGGTTTCTGAAATCAGACTGAAGTGATAACCCTACATAATGGAAAGAAAGTCTTTCAGTGCACAAACACCTCCTGATGAGGGGTGAGTGGAAGCCACTGCACCAGAAAGTAGCCAAATCACAGCTAAATACACCTGCAACCTGAAACTCACCTAGTCCCTGGGAGGGGGGAAGCCGGTGAGACTACTGGAGCTCCCCTGGAGGGAGGCCTACAGGCATGAGAGTCCTGAGCTGCTGGCTCATTTGCTATTTTTTCTGTTCTAAAACAAGGCATCCCATTTTGTGGCTCAAAGGAAGTAAAGTGGTTTTATTACTGATTTACAGGCATGGTTAATTGCAATTTGGATGGTAGGTGCTGTTGATACTGTGCTGGATTTTTTTCTCTCTCAGAAACACAGCAATGGCATATATTTATATAGCCCATAGTTCGAGACTCTGTTCCCAGCACGATGGCCCAGCCACGCCATCTCAGCTCTGTACTGGCACCCAATCTATACTGGGTCTGAATGTCCTTTCCTCCTATCTTCCTGCCACAATATCTGAAACGTCCACCATGCAAAGGCTTCCACTGGGTTAGGAAAGGAAAATAAAATTCATTGTGAGCAGGAAGAGGGTAATACATTCATTTGTGGTCAACTTAGTGTGAGCTGCTTTAACAGCTAAGCTAGCTTCTAATAATGTAAGGACATGAATCAGGGAGGAGGGAAAGTTCTATTTCAGAGTGGAGCCAGAACACCTCTTCAAACAACTGTGTTAGGACATCCCTTGTTATGTATGGACTCTGGAAATCAGAATAACAAAATCGGAAACCAACTGGGCACCACCACGAAGCAGGGTAGTTAATCTCCCTGAGCCTCTACTTACCTCATCTGTAAAATGGATGACTTCAACCACCATTACAAAAGATACCAACCAGCTGCACAGTGCATACAAATAAGACTTTCAGTGTACTAGCAAGGTAGGTTGCAACTCGCCTTCCATGACTTGGCAGTAGAGGATAAGGATGGTAGCACATCAGGGCTTTTGTCACATTTTAGCTGTGTGACCTCAGCTGAGTCTCAGGACTGGCTACACAATTTGCAGGGCCCATTGCAACATGAAAATGCAGGGCCTCTTGTGGAAAACCTTAAGAATTGAAGCAAAGTGCACAGCCCTTCTTCTAAGCATGGGACCTGGGCCACTGTGCATTTGGCACACTTATGAAGAATGGCTCTCATTCATCCTCTCTTGTGGGGCAGAGCCCTGGTTTCCGCTGGGTCCAGCTCGATGACTGTCACTTGCAAGTCTATTGTGCCCAAGGAGAATGAACAGCATTCATGGCACCATCATCTGGGCCCTCCCAACTCCTATCCAGGATACACCCATTTTTTTTAAAGGTTTTATTTATTTATTTGAGAGAGAACACAAGCAGGGGGAGGGGCAAAGGGCAGACTCCCTGCTGAGCAGGGAGCCTGGCATGGGGCTTGATCCCAGAACGCTGGGATCTTTACCTTAGCTGAAGGCAGATGTTTCCTTGACGAAGCCACCCGGGCACCCCATGATATCTGAGATGAACAACAGCTGACATATCAGCACCTTTTTTTAAAATCTTTTTTTTTTAAGATTTTATTTATTTATTTGAGAGAAAGAGAATGAGAGACAGAGAGCATGAGAGGGAGGAGGGTCAGAGGGAGAAGCAGACTCCCCGCCGAGCAGGGAGCCCGATGCAGGACTCGATCCCGGGACTCCAGGATCATGACCTGAGCCGAAGGCAGTTGCCTAACCAACTGAGCCACCCAGGCGCCCTCAGCACCTTTTTTTTTTAAAGATTTATCTACCCATTTGAGAGGAAGAGAGGCAGGGGGCAGGGCAGAGGGAGAGGGAGACAGAGAATCCCCACTCGCACTCCCCGCTGAGCATGGAGCCCAACGCAGGGCTCGATCCCAGGACCCTGAGATCGCGACCTGAGCCGAAACCAAGAGCCAGCTGCTGAACCAGCTGAGCCACCCTGGCACCCCTCAGCACACGTTTAAGAAAGAAAACTGTAAGGATACAGAGGAGGACGCACTTAGGATTACTAATCTTAGGCAGCAGACAGAAACCAGCCTCCTTTGATTCCGAGAAGGGTGTGCTAAGGTTTCTTTTCTTTCTTTTACTAACTGAACTATTTCAGAGTGCCAAATTATTTAGGGATCTTTACCATGTTTCAAGTCCTCTCCTTCAAGCAGGAAATGATCTTTCTAGTTATGACACAAGCAAAAGCACCAGTGTTAGCATACACAAAAATGCGAAAGCAGAGGCAGCTCCATCCCATGATCATACGTTGGGCTCTTTCCTAGCTCCTATTTGGAAACTGAAACTCCAGAACACAGGCTTACATAGATCCACGTTCTTACATAAATAACCATCCAGTGAGGGTTGCTCTGGAAGGATCGCTGTCTCTAACTTCCAAAAACTGCTCATGTGCGAGCAGAGGACTCCGTGACTGTTACAGAAATTGCTCTTAAATTCATAAAACACGCAAGAGAATTTTCGGAAAATCCCTTATTATTCATTAAAGCAGTTTAGGCCTCATTAATTCAGATAGGATAATCAGTTGTTGATTAGCCAGGTTGTTAAGCATCCATTGTCAGATGCTGATGGGGTATGAGAAATTACATTTCGTATCCGCCAAAGAGTCACCTGAACGCGGTTAGCACTTCATCAGGTAAGGCTGCATCTTCTGGGGATAAATTAGCCGGATTTTTCACTCCCCAGTCTTCTTTCATCTCACAGATTTTTCTGTATTGCAAAGCAGCCCTCATTCTGATAGGTTTTTCTTGCCTAAGGTCTAAAATATGTCAGAAGCCAACTTTAAAAGCTAATTGGTGGGCGCCTGGGTGGCTCAGGTGGTTAAGCGACTGCCTTCGGCTCTGGTCATGATCCTGGAGTCCCTGGATCGAGTCCCGCATCGGGCTCCCTGCTCTGCAGGGAGTCTGCTTCTCCCTCCGACCCTCCCCCCTCTCATGTGCTCTCTCTCATTCTCTCTCTCTCAAATAAATAAATAAAATCTTTAAAAAAAAATTAAAAAACATAAATAAAAGCTAATTGGTTACAGGTAAGTCACACTGGTGCTTGGGGCTCTAACACTTCAGGGGCACGTGTGTGTGTGTGTGTGTGCATGCTCATGTGTGCACATCTGCCTGTGTGTTGGTTTGGTTGGACAGTTCTTGGCTAGAGCCTCCTCCTCATTGTCAGCCCTTCAGATCCAAATGGTATTCAAGCCATCAAGGGGATTCTTCAGCCGGGGTCCAAAACTCAACTTCCTTCCTTTCCAGCCCTTGTCTGCCCTTGGGAGCGGTATAATGGCAGTGAGCATGGTCAGAAGAGGGCCTGGCTAGACAGTGTGACTCCAGTTCCTCTCCCTGACAGTTTGCAATTTATTTTTGTTCCCTTTAACAACAGGACAGCGTTAATATTTACCCTTCGTGTTGTACCAAGAGTGGGGAGTGCATTTCTATAAAGACAGACCAGTCCCCAGGCCTTTATGAAGCTTCTGATCTCAATGGGACAGGGAGCGTCCAAGGCTGTGAGGACACCCCATAACCACCACATCTTCAAAGAGGGTTGTCATTTTTTACTCACGGAACTGCTCCAGGTGGTCAGCGCTATTAGACTCAGGCGTGGCCGTGATAGTCACCAATGGACACGAATTCCCTCCCAGCGTCTGGCAGAGAACATCCTGGCGGAAGTAGACTTGCTTGGGGTTCACGCTTTTTTCCAGGATGTCAAGGTGAGTCTGGAGCAGAGATGAAACAGAAGCGATTATGATTCATGACATATTTTTGACCATAACAATAGAAAATGGCAACAGAGCTTATATTCACTATCTCCCTATAGATTAGACGTCCTTTTCTTCACCTAGTGTGCCTGATATTGAGCAGTAAGTGATTAACAAGGGGGCTGTTCCTACTGGCTAGAAGTTCAGGGAAGCTGAACAGGAAACCTAGTTTTTGCACATGTCTGCACAACAGAATATCTGTTTTCAAGTCACACTGAAAGCAAGAGGGCAGGGCATACAGCATGCTCCCCGACACTGAGGCATAGAGAGAATGTGTCCATGAAGACAGAGTATACCCAGAACACTTGGGAACATGAGACAGAGAGCTTCAGCAGCATGAAGCACTTTAGAACCAAGAGTTATACAGAGTGTTGTGAGCACATCCAAGGACAATACAAAGCACTGACCCAGGTGGGATGCTAGATGAAGAGAACAATGAACTGGTAGTGATTAATTTTTTAATTTTCCCTCTCCTACCTTCCCATTCAAACACTCATTTAAAACACAGAAAGATACAGGAACGGGCTAGCCACTGAAACTAAGACTCAACAGTCTTTAAGACCTCTGACTATATTTTCACTAGCTCCAACAGTGGGGTTGATCAGAAAGAGGTTAAGAGATTTCCTCCCACCCACACTGCCATCCTGATGACAGTGACATAGTAACCACAGTAACCAGAGGGAGAAGCTGCCCCCTCCAGCACAAGAACATCAGTGTACAAAACTTATCCTTCCAGGGGCGCCTGGGTGGCTCAGTCATTAAGCCATCTGCCTTTGGCTCAGGTCATGATCCCAGGGTCCTGGGATCGAGCCCCGCATTGGGCTCCCTGCTCCGCGGGGAGTCTGCTTCTCCCTCTCCCACTCCCCACTGCTTGTGCTCCTGCTCTCGCTATCTCTTTCTCTGTCAAATTAAAAAAACAAAAACAAGACAAAACAAAAAAAAAACATCCCTCCAGCTGAAGAGCTAAAGTTTTCACCATAATCCAGAAGGTATGAGGGCCAAGGAGAAACCACCCACCTTGTTTTTTGACAAATCACAAGCCTGTTAGGTAAATGAAACAAACATGAATCCTATGAAAATACATACAAAATAGTCATAAAATATACTGTGAAAAAGGGAGCAGTTCCCTCAAAAAATAAAGGATGTGCTTATGTGTGAAAAGGACTTACTCTGGAAGTGGTAGGCAGACTAACAGCTCCCCCAAAGATCCATACCCTAATCTTCTGAACCTGTAAATAGGTTACCTTCCATGGCAAAAGGGACTTTGCAGATATATTTAGGATAAAGGTCTACTTGAAATGGGGAGGTTCTACCACATGATTCAGCTGGAGCCAATCCAATCACAAGTGCTTAAGAGCAGGAAACTAGTCCCATCTGCGGAGAACCAAAAATGGCAGCATGAGAAGGACTCAGTCTGCCATTAAGGGCCTTGAAGATGGGAGAAGCAGGTCGAAGGCCAAGGAACATGGTGTCCTCTAAAAGCTGGAAAAGGCAAGAAAACGAATTCTCTCCAATAGCCTACAGAAGGAATGGGGCCCCAACACCTTGACTTTGCCCTAGTGAGCCCCATGTCGAACTTCTAAAGAGCTATAAAACAAAAGAAAAGCTTATGTTTGAGCCACTAAGTTTGTGATAATTTGTTACAGCAGCAACAGAAAATTAATTCACAAATAAACAAGAAAAACAATTTTCTAAACTAAATAAAAATCCTAGCATTTGGGTAAGTGCAGACTAAAACCTACTTGTACTCTATTGAAATATCCGAGTTGCAAGGAGAAAGAAAAAGTCCCAGGGAAAGAGATTACCAGATGCCTCTGTGTAACCTTTCTACTAGCCTCAGGAATATCTGAAAATCTGACCCTGAATCATATACTCTTTGCAACTGAGACCCCAAATCATCTACCCCCACATAGCCTACTGACTTTATTATTCCCTGTCTGCCTCAACACAACTTTACTAGTCCAGGAAACTCTTGCCCAGGAAAATATAAATCACAAATAAATTTATTGTTCATTCCAGGAACATCTCATCAATTCTTCAACAGAAAGCCACAACTGACGCATTGATCCAAGACCCTTACAGCCCCTCTCCTCAAGATCCTTGCCTTACAGTGTCCCCCAATCTTAAACCACTGTATCATGATCTTTAACCAATGCTAATCAAGCCCCACATTAAAGAAACCTTCTCTTAAACAAGCCTTTAAAGACTTAATAAATATCCCACCTTCTCCCTTCCCCTTTTGAGGTACTGTCAAGACTCTGTCACATTCTTCCTTGCAAGTATATTAGTTTCCTCTCACTGCTATTAACAAATTACCACAAATTTAATGGATGGACACAACACAAATTAATTGTCTTACGGTTCTGGAGGTCCAAAGTCCAAAATGGGCCTTACTGGGCAAAAGTCGAGGTGTTGGGAGAACTACACTCCCTCCAGAGGTTCTAGAGGATAATTCATTCCCTTGCCTTTACCAGCATCTAGAGGTCATGTACATTCCTTGCTTCTTGGTGCCTTCCTCCATCTCCAACACCAGCAATCCCATCATCCCCACCTCTCCTCTGACTCTGACTCATCTGTTTCATTCTTTCATGTTTAAGGACCCTTGTGATGACACTGGACCCAACCTGATAATTCAGGAGAAGCTCCCTATCTCAAGACCCTTAATTCGATCACATCTGCAAAAGCTCTTGTACTAGACATCTTCGCAAGTTCCAGGGATTAAGATGTGAACATCTTTGGGGGACCACTATTCAGCCCAACACACCAAGGTAAGCAATAAACTCATGTCTGTCTTAGAAACAGGTTGCTTGGGTGATATTTCTAGGACCATCATTTGACGCAATACTAAGTAATGGAATTAGAAGGTGCATGTCTATCTCAGATTCAAGAGGAGAATTCAACTGAGGCCTATGTACCCTACCAAGCCTTTGTACTTCATTCTTGGGATTGTTCATTGAATAATGAGTACCAGATATTGTTGACATGCACTGGCTGGAGATTGGGAGGTAGTCTCACACCCTTGAGAACTAAGTACTAAGTATATGTACACAAACACATATAACCAAAAGGCCTATGTAACTACCTAGGTATGAAAGTTGAAGAAACCCTGGGGCCAAGGGTCAGCTTCATCTCTCATGACCACACACTTCCCTAGTAAGAGTGACTAGGGCCAAAGAAGCCATACCTGGGAGTTTTCACTAAGCCCTTTCCATGCATACTGTGTGGTTGCTTGCCCTGTGTCCTTTCTCAAGGATGAGTAAGTTTGGCTCTAGGAAAGCTTCGTCTTGTGTATTTGCCAATCTAACTAAAATCAACACCACTACTCCATATGGGGCAGAATCGGGGGTACACCCTACCATTAAGATTCTTTTAAAAAGTAGGTATGTGTGTTTGTTTTTGTAGATAAACCTACACACGGACATATATGTACACACAAAAAAATCATACTTGGATCATACTTTCTTCTGCAACACTAGATGCCAGGAGTACTGCTTAGTGTTTGAAAGTAGACAGGATTGTTATAATACACTATATGGTTATTAAATTGAATTTAAATTAAAAAAAAAATTTTAAGAGAGATGTGCAGGGGCACCTGGGTGGTGCAGTCTGTTAAGCAACCAACTCTTGGTTTCTGCTCTGGTTGTGATCTCACAGTCATGGGATGGATTATGTTTGCATTGGGCTCCACGCTCAGTGCACAGTCTGCTTTAAGTTTCTCTCTCCTTTTCCCTCCGCCCCTCCCCACCGTGCTCTCTCTCTCTCTCAAATAAATAAATCTTTAAAAAAAGAGATGTGCAAGGGAAGAATAAATTAAAACAAAATACGAACTTTCTTAACTCACATAGACATAGTGATATCATATCATCCTTGAAAACGTAAGGTAAAATAGCAAGAGGGTAGGCTCTTATGTCAAACTGCCTTGATTCAAATTTGAGCTGTAGATTCTGGAAAAGGTATGTAAATTTTGTACTTAGCCTTTTGTGACTCAGTTTTCTTATCTTTCAAAGGGATATAAAAATACCCACCTCATTCAGTGGTTGCTATAATTTAGCCATATACTGTGTGTGAAAAGTGCCTATCATATAGGAAATACTCAATTTTAGCTGTTCATATTGATAGAGAAATATAGGCTCAAATATGTTTTTAAGAACAAAAAGGGAAACACTAGTAGAATTATAAACACTAAGGGGGAAAAAGTCAAAGAAAATAAGGTCGTCCATGTTGCATAAGAAAGAAAGAGAGAGGGAGGGAGGGAGGGAAGGAAAGAAGGAAAGAAAGAAGGAAGGCAGGCAGAAAGAGAGAGAGAGAAAGAAGAAAGAAACAGGTTGCTTGGGAAAGGAAGGAAGGAAGGAAGGAAGGAAAGAAGGAAGGAAGGAAGGAAGGAAAGAAAGAAAGAAAGAAAGAAAGAAAGAAAGAAAGAAAGAAAGAAAGAAAGAAAGAAGAAAGAAAGAAAGAAAGAAGAAAGAAAGAAAGAAAGAAAGAAAGAAAGAAAGAAAGAAAGAAAGAAAGAAATAGAAAATAGCATAAAATCAAAATGACAGAAGTAACACCAAAACTTGCTATAAGTATAAATAGATCAAACAGCCTTATTAAATGACAAAAACTTCCATATTCATTTTTTTAAATCTCATTGCATATTGATTATAACAAGTACTTTGAAAGAAAGGAAAAATACATAATGTGTATGAAAAGCACTCCTAAATGATCTATTTTGTTTGCCTCCATTAAAATATTTTAGGAGAGAAATATTGAAACTTAAAGGATAAGCAAACATAAATTAAAGCAGGCATGGCAATCGTAATATATGACAAAGTCATACTTAAGACCAAGTACATTAAATGGGATTTAAAAATCTTATTTTGATAAAGGGCACGATTCACAATGAACATATAAAACTCATAAATCTTAAGAATCAAATAACATAGATTGAAATATACAGCGCAAAAAAGGCAGAAGGG